TGAAACCGTTGCTTTAACCAATCAGATTTCGAGTTGGCAGCACCAGGGCCATCTAGCTGGCTAACGATAATGTCAGCATTTTCTCGTCCTTTGATTGGATGGTCAGCATACTAGCTAGCAAACAGCATCATTGTAAACCATTTTATTAAAACTTAGTAAAACTTTTATTACTGTTTCTCAGGTTTAAATTTTCAGTGCATTTTGAAAAAATATTTGCCTACTATATTTAGTCAATCTAAAACCAGTAGTCCTAATGACTGCGAAAAACAACCACACACCTCGTCGGCACCGACTCTGTGAAAGACTCGTGAAGATGAAAAACCACTAGAGTATGGTAGGTTAATTTTCATTTTTGACTCTTTTATCGCTTGATGCGTTGTATGCTGATGTTATTTGCGCGATATAAAGCCAGGTTTAAGTTTCCATAAGAATATCTCAGTTCCCTGAGTGGAGCTGTATGAACCGGTCTTTTCCTCCGGCCGCAGCGCGAGAGTCACAGACAATGTACCGTTTCATGAGGTACAGACAGCACCAGGTGGATCACACATTTACAGGAATTTCAGGTGATAAAGCGAAACAATATGACTTTCACTGGAATGACGGAACAGTCGATCATCTGTTTGGTGTGTGTGTGTGTGTGTGTGTGTCAATGGTACATTATAGACTATCCTAGATGAGGTCAGGAGAGACTGTATCACTGTCTGGAATGTAGAAGGGCAGGATGGTCCATGTGAACAAGAGAAATCAAGTAAACTCTCAAAAATCAACAGTAAAACATTAATGCTAGAAGTCAAGCCTCGTCCAAGCATTGTCAAATCAGATTTGTAAAATTGACTTGAGAAGCAACTTAAGACACTTCAATTCAAAGGATCTTGTTTTAAATATTTCTAGATATTTTAACTGGAAATACTCAAGGTTCTGAAAAATTGTGTTACACTAACTTTTTTGTTGTGTTTTGATGTGTTGCATCTTGGTGTTCAATTGCAGTTATGAGGAAAGCAAGTTTGTTTGTAAAAAATACCTCAGGCAAAAAGAAATACAGTATATTTTAAAGGTAACAGCATTTTAATCGCTGCTTCCAAAAGTAAAATAATAATAATAGTAATACTGCAACTTTTGTTACAATATTTTAACGTTACCACAGATATCAATGAAAGTGAGCAAACAGTATTGATTCCCAGAGGAAGTACAATGGTTTATAGCTGGTCTGTAGGTAAATTAAGAATATGGCATGACAAGCTTCTCTGTTCTTTGGCAAAAAACCCAGGCCTAGAACAGCTAAAAAGCTATTGCTCCTGGCATCTGTTCCTTCCTTTTGGCACATTCACAGTTGATACCGCATCTCCCACCATGACAAATCACACCTATCGGAAACAACCAGCAGATCGCAAAGCTTAGACATGTCAATTACCATGGAACCCTGTTTCCCCTTGTTTATCTCTTTGTTTTTCTTGCTATCTCTGTCTCTCCACCCCTGTCAATTATTTCTGATATGAGACCCGGGAAAAAAACCAAAGACAGGGAAGAGATTAGATTTGGCGTGCTGATGCTGACAGAATTCAGTGGCGCTCTACTTTGAGATGCCAGAAAATAAAAGCTTTGACTGAATTGAACTCTGCAAGAATTTAAGTTATTCTGACAAGAAGCGAGTTCTCACAAAGACACTTTCAGACAGTGGCATATCGCTCTGAAAAACATTACCAGTTTAATTTAATGCTCTACATCTGAAATAACACAAAACTGTGATAGAGTCAGGTTTGACTTAACCATTACGAGAGCTCTTTTAGCATCAAAGCATGTATATCTCCACAAGCTAAATGATTGGTTAATAATATGATATGTGGGCAGTGAGATTACACTGCAAATCCATGCAGTTCAGCCAACCAGATCCAGTTCTAAACACCAATTAGCTAATCAGAGGAGACAGAGTTATGGGACTCGACTGGAGTTTCCTTTGAACCTCAGCTTAACCAAGATAGAGTCCAGAGCCCTCACTGGTCGAGAGTTCATCTCTGGTTGAGAAAATGTTAAAATGACAAGCAATCCAGCAGAGATCAGAAAGGCAAAGAGGACGCTTGGTCTATCTTTCCATGTGGGGCTGGATTTAATTCGACAGATGGTCTAATTTCTTCAAAGTGGATTAGTTGAGGCAAGAAATCACAAGTTGCCTTCATCTCAATGGGTATTTTTTGGTCCAAATTTTCCAATCAGTGGAATTTTGACTCATCGTTTGACTTAGATCTCAATGTGTCTCATTTCTCATGTCCAAAGATCTCAATCTCTTCGTCCATGTCAGGGTTACCATAATTACAAGATGACATTTTTGGAAACATCTTTCTTGTCGCCAATGAGGAACAATTTTATAGGTTAGCCATATGCTAAAATTGGCTAAAGTTAGCCATCTGTAGGATAATTTCTCTAAGACACCACTAAAACCTTATTCCAATAGGATTTTTTTTATCTTGTCTTACAGTTAAAATATCTAAAAGTCCTCACAAGAAGATACATTCATTTGAGAATCAACACTTTGAAGACTTGTTTTAGATTGTATTAAAAATGTATTTGTCTTAAGCTTTGTTTCCACTGAGCGGTACAGTTCAGTACTGTACAGTACAGTACAATTTGGGATGGTACACCCTGATCCGGCTTGCGTTTCAGTGCCCAACAGTACCCTTACAAAAAATAACCATGGTTTTACTACAAATAAAACCAAAAAAAACATGATTACTATGTTAACCTCAAATTAACCATGGCTTTGATACGTTAACCACAGTTTAACCATTGTATTTGAAGTAAAAATATATAGTAACTGATGATATTCAGAGAGTTAAACGACTTGGCACAAGCTGATTGGTTCATGCTGCATATGCAGCCAATGAGCTTACTGCCTTGCATTTATATGGCCGGCTAGCATTCACTTGAGATTCCTGCAGCGCGCTTCCAGAGTTCTATGAAACCCTCCACCTTCCCCAGCTCCACCTGGATAGATCTGCTACGGGGTTATTTTATATGCTATTTGTGCAGCAGCAGTATGTCTTAAATACTCATGGTACCGTATCGCCATATGCATTAGCAGTAGCAAGTTCCTGTACTTGCTTGCAGCAGCAGCAATAATCTACAACTACAGCAATAACCAACAAACAGCATTTTAATCGCTGCTTCCAAAAGTAAAATAATAATAATAGTAATACTGCAACTTTTGTTACAATATTTTAACGTTACCACAGATATCAATGAAAGTGAGCAAACAGTATTGATTCCCAGAGGAAGTACAATGGTTTATAGCTGGTCTGTAGGTAAATTAAGAATATGGCATGACAAGCTTCTCTGTTCTTTGGCAAAAAACCCAGGCCTAGAACAGCTAAAAAGCTATTGCTCCTGGCATCTGTTCCTTCCTTTTGGCACATTCACAGTTGATACCGCATCTCCCACCATGACAAATCACACCTATCGGAAACAACCAGCAGATCGCAAAGCTTAGACATGTCAATTACCATGGAACCCTGTTTCCCCTTGTTTATCTCTTTGTTTTTCTTGCTATCTCTGTCTCTCCACCCCTGTCAATTATTTCTGATATGAGACCCGGGAAAAAAACCAAAGACAGGGAAGAGATTAGATTTGGCGTGCTGATGCTGACAGAATTCAGTGGCGCTCTACTTTGAGATGCCAGAAAATAAAAGCTTTGACTGAATTGAACTCTGCAAGAATTTAAGTTATTCTGACAAGAAGCGAGTTCTCACAAAGACACTTTCAGACAGTGGCATATCGCTCTGAAAAACATTACCAGTTTAATTTAATGCTCTACATCTGAAATAACACAAAACTGTGATAGAGTCAGGTTTGACTTAACCATTACGAGAGCTCTTTTAGCATCAAAGCATGTATATCTCCACAAGCTAAATGATTGGTTAATAATATGATATGTGGGCAGTGAGATTACACTGCAAATCCATGCAGTTCAGCCAACCAGATCCAGTTCTAAACACCAATTAGCTAATCAGAGGAGACAGAGTTATGGGACTCGACTGGAGTTTCCTTTGAACCTCAGCTTAACCAAGATAGAGTCCAGAGCCCTCACTGGTCGAGAGTTCATCTCTGGTTGAGAAAATGTTAAAATGACAAGCAATCCAGCAGAGATCAGAAAGGCAAAGAGGACGCTTGGTCTATCTTTCCATGTGGGGCTGGATTTAATTCGACAGATGGTCTAATTTCTTCAAAGTGGATTAGTTGAGGCAAGAAATCACAAGTTGCCTTCATCTCAATGGGTATTTTTTGGTCCAAATTTTCCAATTAGTGGAATTTTGACTCATCGTTTGACTTAGATCTCAATGTGTCTCATTTCTCATGTCCAAAGATCTCAATCTCTTCGTCCATGTCAGGGTTACCATAATTACAAGATGACATTTTTGGAAACATCTTTCTTGTCGCCAATGAGGAACAATTTTATAGGTTAGCCATATGCTAAAATTGGCTAAAGTTAGCCATCTGTAGGATAATTTCTCTAAGACACCACTAAAACCTTATTCCAATAGGATTTTTTTATCTTGTTTTACAGTTAAAATATCTAAAAGTCCTCACAAGAAGATACATTCATTTGAGAATCAACACTTTGAAGACTTGTTTTAGATTGTATTAAAAATGTATTTGTCTTAAGCTTTGTTTCCACTGAGCGGTACAGTTCAGTACTGTACAGTACAGTACAATTTGGGATGGTACACCCTGATCCGGCTTGCGTTTCAGTGCCCAACAGTACCCTTACAAAAAATAACCATGGTTTTACTACAAATAAAACCAAAAAAACCATGATTACTATGTTAACCTCAAATTAACCATGGCTTTGATACGTTAACCACAGTTTAACCATTGTATTTGAAGTAAAAATATATAGTAACTGATGATATTCAGAGAGTTAAACGACTTGGCACAAGCTGATTGGTTCATGCTGCATATGCAGCCAATGAGCTTACTGCCTTGCATTTATATGGCCGGCTAGCATTCACTTGAGATTCCTGCAGCGCGCTTCCAGAGTTCTATGAAACCCTCCACCTTCCCCAGCTCCACCTGGATAGATCTGCTACGGGGTTATTTTATATGCTATTTGTGCAGCAGCAGTATGTCTTAAATACTCATGGTACCGTATCGCCATATGCATTAGCAGTAGCAAGTTCCTGTACTTGCTTGCAGCAGCAGCAATAATCTACAACTACAGCAATAACCAACAGCAGCAGCAATTCAGCAGCAGCGTAGCAGATCTGCTAGGCCAAGACTAAATACATTATCATTGTCATATCAATCACCATGCTAAAATGTTCTGAGAGTTGTCATGATTGAACTGTGGTTATACACATGGTTATCAATACGCCAAAAAAAACATGGTTACTAGACTTTTACTATAATAAAACCATGACTATGTAGCAGATCTGCTAGGCCAAGACTAAATACATTATCATTGTCATATCAATCACCATGCTAAAATGTTCTGAGAGTTGTCATGATTGAACTGTGGTTATACACATGGTTATCAATACGCCAAAAAAAACATGGTTACTAGACTTTTACTATAATAAAACCATGACTAATTTTTGTAAGAGTACCCTTACTTGATAGGCGTGGTGTATGCTGGAAAGTAGCGATCGATGTCATTCTCACACGAAGAAGAGAGTGCGACATTGTCTGTGTGTGAAAATATAAAATTCTAAAATACACTGTTATATTTTTTGCAATAGCAATGTTATACAATAGCAACACGCTCAACCAATAACGTGAGTTTAGGGTGGGGACATCTATTGGTATGACCAATGAAAGTCCTATATGACATACACATAAGAACCATGCAAACCATAAGTCTAGAACTTTCAATATCAAATATAAAACTTCCAAAACATTTCTGGAATCCAAGGCAATGTTTAATTAGCTTGATAGCGTAAATGAACAAAGTATTTTTGCCTATTATAAAGACGCTGATCCAGGGTGGCTATTACTTGGTGAGAAATATTCCTTTAATGATTTAAACAAACACCACACACAGAGACAGTACCCAAATTAAAATCTATTTTTCATGAAGAACCACTGGCGATCTTCTACTTAAAAGTCATAACTCTGACACCAATGCTGTGTCATAAGCAGCTAAAGCTCACTTTTTCAAACTCCATTTCTAACAACAAATATATTGGCTGACAGTTTTACCTGAGCTGATGTGACATCGGTTCTGTTGCCAGTGTAGCTGTGTAAAGAGCTCCAAATTGGCTTTTGGAAAGTGGCCTGGGGTCAAAATAGTAGGTGATCTGCGTCAAACAGGAAACAATGACACATCACACTGACGTTATAACGTTATTATGTTGAGGTGCACCTTGGATGACAATTTTTTTGGGCAGTATTAAACAGCACATGTCAACAAATCATATTCATAGTGGTTATTTTTGTCTTATTTTCCAGTTACAAAACCCAAAGAACTTGAAACAGGATCTATTCACTTGAGAAGCAATATGATAGTAAGACTGGTGTTCATAGATTGTATCTGTAATTTGAGTGTATTTGTCTTATGTGTTTATTTTGTTATATA